AGAGAGAGAGAGAGAGAGAGAGAGAGAGAGAGAGAGAGAGAGAGAGACCAGAAAAACACGGATACATAGGGCTGGCTGGTGTTAATCAACGAGGGTGACCCCTGGACTTCATCCTTTAGCCTCTACCATCTGCAAGGCCATGAAAATAAAACTTAATGCATCACTGTCAAGGTGAGAGCCATGTTCAGCATTCAACTTGACTCTGGGGAATCTTGTCTTCCTTTAATTTTTGACTACATAGCCTTCACCTAGTGTTCATTTCTTTGAGGCATTTAAGAAGACCTTTAAAATAGTCTATTAAGCAATTTTAGTTTTTAAAATAATTATTATTTTAAAATGGAGCGTGGTCCACAGATTTAGTCTGAAATTTTGACAGAAAATCTAGTATATTTATTGTTTACTTATTAAGAATTCCAGGGATAGGCAGTCCCAGGGCTGGTTCAGCATTTGGGGACCTTCTATGAACCCTGGATCTTGTATTCTTTCCCCTCAGTTTGTTCAGTATTTCTGCTACTGTAGTCAAGCTTGTTGCCTCATGGTTGCAAGATGGCTGCTGCAGCTCCAGATATCACATCATCATGATATAGCTGCCCATGGACAGGAGAAAAGGAGGCAAAAGTCTCATGAGACTCTCTGTTATTAAGAGACAAATATGATTCCCAGAAACCCTGATATATCCTGCTTTAAGTACCATTGGCCATACTACATGCTCACGTGCCCCCTCTGGACCAATCGCTGCAAATGGGATTGCTGGCTTGCCTTAACCCAAATTTTATCCTCTGCACTCCCCCCATCCCTCAGCTCCAGGGTTGGAACATAGCCACTCAAACAGAACTAGGTTTCTGTTAATAAGGAAAAAGTGAGCATCGGCTGCTGTGCAGACATCAACGTCTGGCACAGCTACCCCCTGGGAGAAGCAGCTCTTGCCTGGCCTCAGGGGCAGTGGACGTGAGATTCCCTGATGGGGCTCCTGTCCTACTGGGCTCCGTGTGCACAAACGCGCTCCCCATCCCTGGTCCTGCTCTTTATTTCAGCACCCAGCTGGGTGCCCCACCTGATCCCAAGCCCAGGGCCAGCTCCCAAGGTCTGTCTCCTGATCACCCAATCCCTTTAGGATTTTGCATGTGCTGATGGACCAGCCTCCCTTTCCCTGGTTCCCATGCCACTTCGGGAAGATAGGCAGAGAACCCATGTGAGTGAGATATTTTTAATGAGCTCAATACCTTGCTGGGAATGTAACATATATTGTAATATTAAATACCTGGAGGGGGATTTGGGGCTTCCCATTTTAAACACAAGGAAGTGTTGGCATAAAGTGGTGTAACTCTTTGCCCGAGAACAGACGGCTGTCGTGTGGAGCTGGGACCAACAGTCAAGTCAGTTTGCTGCACAAATCCGTGTTCTGCTTGCCCCACAGAGTGAGAATGAGGCTCCCACCCCAAGGGGTGCCTCCAGAGATGAGTTCAGCCTCATCAGTGCACAGGGGGAACAAACAACTTTTGGAAGCCAGGCCCCACCTCTGTCTCGTTAGTGGGAAGCGTGGTTGGGAGGGGAGAGAGAGCTCTTCCCCTTTGTGTGAGGCCGTTGACATAGAAACCCCAGACAGGGGCCCTAGCCACCACATCCTCTTCTCTCGTGTTGCCTACAGGCTCTCTCCTTCACTCACAAACTCCAGGACGGTGCCGGGGGCAGGGGCTGGGCCATGTCCCCCCGTCCCACCACCCTCCTGGGCCTGGGTGAGTCCTGGAATGGAGGGGTAGGAATCCAGGGGCAGAGGGGCTCTGCTTCCCAGCTCCGTCCCGACTCCAGCCCAGAAGACGCTGGGGCCCTAGCGGGGCAAAGTGGTCCCCCTCAGCTCTGGCCAAGACCTAAGTCTTACCACGGAAGGTTCAGTGCTGGAAATGGTGCCTGGGTATGGGGTTGAGTTCAGACTGAGAAGGGCTGGGGGGCAGGGAGGAACACCTGCTTGGAAGAGGGGTTGGGGGTTTGTCCTGAGACGATTTCGGAGCAAGGAGAGGGCTCGTACTCAGAGGCAATGTTGACCGGGGTGTCGGGGAAGTATGGGACGATGACCACCCCCTACCCCGCTGGCTCCTCAAGGCCCCCGCTTGACTGCGGCCCCTTGAGGAAACCGTACAGTGGGCGTCTTTCTCACTACAACTTCTCTTCCAGTGCTCTGTCTGGGTCACACGATGCACACACAGGCGGGTGAGTCTTCTCCCCAATCCCCTCTGCACCCCGCAGGCAGATGTAGGTGAGAGTGGAGCCGATCCTGGGGGCCCTGACATACACCTCGAATTGCAAACAACCCCCAGCGTATAACCCTCGCCCAGGTCTCTCCCGCGTTCTCCCCCTCCGCTCTTGATGGCCCCCAGGGACGATTCAGAGCATACAGACCAGGCTGCACCCACGAGCTCTCCCCGCACAAGCCCAGATCTCCCGCGGCAGCCCCTGGGCAGAGAACATGACCTCGCCAAGGGCAGACTCAGAATCCTCCTCAATCCCACCGTCTCCATCCTCCCGTACGGACTGTAGCACACAGTGATGTGGTTTTAAATGATCATTTAAAAGTTTTACTTAAAAACTTTAAATATCTATATAGTATATAATTTATCTTCAGGAAAACCGTAATCTTCCTTCGAGCCCTCTCACAGTTTACCTTCAGACAGACTGAGACCCACGCATCTCTCTTTGGTCTAGATCTGTCTGTCCCCATGCTGTCTGGCCCACTTATCTCAGTTACCTTGGTTTTCTTTCCCTTTCTAAATGCCATCTTCCCACTCAGCTCCAGACCTCCGCACCACCCTGAATGCCCGGTGTCCCCTGTCCCTCGGCCTGGGGAATTCATCCCTGACCTCAGATCTTGGCTCAGATATCTCTTCCCTCGGACCTCCCAGAGGATGGCAGCTCTGCCTCCTGTCTGCCCCCGAGATTCCCACACTCACCCCGAGGGCATGTACCACCGTTTGTACCCGTGGATTTGCACAATTATTTGTCAATGGCTATCCTCTCTCTAGACTTTCAGCCCCAAGAGGGCAGGCATCCTGGGTGTTTCTCATATTTGTGGAACCAGTGGTACATGGAGGCATCAGTAAACAGATAGATGAGAGCTAAGGTGTGGTCAAAAGAAAGAAAGAGTGAATGAGTGACCTCTGCCAGCCTCCTGCCTCTATGGGATTTTGCTGAATGTGAGGCCAGCTTCCTGTTTCAGGGCTACAAACCCGCTCTTCCCCCTGCCCCCAGCCCAGTTGAGACATTTGGGGTTTCCAGAGCCTCAGTAACAAGGAAATGGAAATAAGCTGAGATGAAGGTAAAAATACAGAGAAAACCCAGGGATGAAAGCACAGAAGACTCGCCTTGGACACAGAGATCCTCGCCTGCTGAGGAAGGTGGGATCAGATCTGTGCTCCAGCTCCTACACACACACACACACACACACACACACACACACACACACACACAGCCGCTCTGCAGACTGCGTCCCTCACCCCACACAATCCCACCTGAGACTGGCAGCTGCCCTTCAGACCAGCCCAGATCATTCCTACCGACTGAGACCCCTGCTCTCCTTGTCCCAGGAATGACCCGGTCATTCCCGTCCTGTGCCACCCTCCCAGCTGTCTCTGTTCCCCTAGAGTGGCCGTGGGCAGGGAGGGAGCCGCCCCCTGCAGCAGACATGCCCGGGGGCCCAGCCTGCTCTGACACCTCCCACGTCACCCTGAGCAAGACGTGACCAAGCCTCAGGGTCCTTAAGTCAAGTGGGGAAAATCACTCCGCAGTGATGGGAATTTATATGCTCATAGAATGGACCTGGGGGGGTCTTTTGGGGGAGGATGATGGAAATGGTCTAAAATTGGATTGTGGGACTTCCCTGGTGGTCCAGTGGTCAAGACTGAATGCTTCCAATGCAGGGGGTGTGGGTTTGATCCCTGGTTGGGGAACGAAGATCCCACATGCAGTGCAGCCAAAAAAAATTGTACTGTGGTGACGGTTGCACAACTTTGCAAGTTTAAAAAAAAAAAAAGTACCGAATTGAGCAACACAAATGGGTGAATTATGTGACGTGACGATTTTCACGTAATGCTGAGACTCTGCTCTTACCCATCCCAGGGACCCTGCCCAGTCGCTCCACCAGGGCTGAGCCCGACTCTGTAAGCCCCCAGGGGTGGCCTGTGACCATTGTGTGCAGGGGCCCTGCTGGGGCTGAGGAATTCCGTCTGGAGACGAAGGACAATAGGAGTGACTTCAAGGATGAGAAAACTGTGTTTCAAATTGGTCCATACCAGACAGAGGCCAGATTCCGCATCACCGCTGTGAGTAGAGACGCTGCCCAGCATTATCAGTGCCTCTATCGAAAAGGTAATCACTGGTCTGAGCCCAGTGAGCCCCTGGACCTGCCGGTGACAGGTGAGGAGGTCTCTGCTCTGCCCTCAGGTTTGCCCCAGGTCCCTGGACCCTGTCCCCAGCTGTGTCCTCTGTCCACAGGCTCCCCTGCCCCCTCCTGACCCCCAAACCCTCTGGTTCCCTCTTCCGTCTGCACACACATCTCTCTGCCTTCACACCTGGCTCAGGTCCCTGGAGCCTGGTCTCACCTGGACACCACGGTGACCTGGGCACTCAGCCCCAGCATCAGGGTGGGCACAGAGCTATCCCTGCTGGGCTGGCGGGGGGTGCGCTTCCAGAGATGGGGTGAGGACAGACCCCTTCAAGGGAACCTGTGTCTTTTCCCTCAGATGGTGTCGACTGTCCTTTCCACTGGGTGAGAATCTGTGGGCCCTAGGCCATGTGTCCCCTGTGGTGTGGCCCACCCTCCATCGGGCACATCACATGGTCCTAGACCCCTGACCAGGCCTGGATGGTGCTTTGGGGGACCTCTGGGATGAGGCCGTCCCTGTCCCTGTGTGCAGTCAGCCCCCAGGATGTCCTGGAGTCAGCGCCCACTGGGGACACTTTGACCCCCTCCACACCCGCCTGGGGCACTGACCCCGCCGTGCTGCTTTGGGGACACAGGAGTTCACGTACAGAGGACACCCGCTTAAATATGCTCCCAAATGGGACAACCTGGAGAAGTGCTAATCTTATTAATACCGAGGAAATATTTTCTTCTCACCTCGTGTGCACCAGACAGCCTCCTGCCGTGGGACTGATGCACATGGTGAATGAGGAGAAAGGGTCCCTGGCTTCCCAGACTTTAGCGGAGAATTCATTAAAATGAATAATAGGGATGTATATAAGTATATATGGGCATATAAAAATATAAACATATAACTTACAATGTAAAATTTCAGATCTATAATTTAAGTAAATTAGAATACAGTTACACTATTAAATATATAAGTAATACAATATAATATACATTACTATATTGTTACATGAGTAATGTGTGCTATATATTATGTTATCGTGTATTACTATCATCTGTATATGTAATATTAAAATGTGTACCATAATATATATTAAATATGTATAATTGATATAATTTTTATGTATAGAATAATTATGTATAATTTAAATTATTCATATAAATTAAATTATACATATGTAAGTTAAAAACATAATTTAAAATATAATATATATTAATATATATATAATATATTTATATATTTATATTATATATTATATATATTATATATATTAAAATATATTTATATTTACTATTTAGGCATTAAGCATATTTATATAATATGTAATATACATTATAGATGTAAACATATTGCTATATATTATTTGTACGTGTATAACATATATGCTATTCTAAATCGTAGTAAATGTCAGCAGGGGAAGCTCAGGCAGCAATGGCGTTAAAACGCAGGATGGGGTCGTGGATCCTGGACCAAGGACAGTGTTGAGGAAAGGATGCTCCAAGAAATGAAATTTTCTATTTTAAAGGACGTTGAGGACTCAACCTCTGGAGCAGTGGGAGGGAGGGGGCGCTGACCAGAAGAGGGGATGAAGCGCTCCAACCTTGTGGGTGTACCAGCCCCCAAGACCTCAGTTGGACCGCCTGTAAAATGAGCCATGCTGAGCACAGCACTTAAATGTAAAGGAGGTTATGGACAAAAGGCGCATGCGTGGAGTGCAGCTCGTGGCGGGTGCTGCATCCTCTCACCTGCTAAAGGCTGGGCTTCAGGCAGCTCGAGGACATCGGGTCTTGGCTTCTTGACTCACAGAAGAGCATTTCCGCCCCATCAGGGATTGCTGCGAAAAACAGAAGAGATCAGACATGGGGATTCTTGTGTTTGGCGTGGGAACCCAGAAGGAGGTGAGCAGGCAGAGGTTCCCGCTCTCGATTCCTGCTGGGTTTCCGTCTCTGTAAAGGTTGCACAAAGCGCGGAGAGCAGCGCCGTCCCATGCAGCCTCCTGCAGGAAGGAGATGCTGTGTATCTGCGTCATCCCGGGAGGGTGTCATTAGCCAGGGGTAGTGCAGTGGCTAGTGCAGCTGGCGATCTGACTTTTAGTTAACCTAAATTTCAGTGAAAATTGTCCCGCGTGACTACCGTGGTGGTAACCATCCTCACAGCAAGGTCCATGGGGCTGTTCTAGGGGGAGCAGGTCGGGGTCCGGGGAGGAGACCCCTTGGAGGTGGGGATGGGGGACTCAGAGGCTTCTCTGTCCAGATCAGGCCTCTGACCAGACCCTCCTCACTCCTCGGAGACACAGACGCATCCGCAGGACAATGACCGTCCTGATGCGCGAGGGGGACGCAGAAGCACGAGCCCGGTGCGTGTTCTTTGGGGAAAGGGGGAAAGAAGGGGCTTTGGTGCCGGTCATATCCCAGCTTGACCAGTGCCCTGTGGACAGAGGACTCCAGCGCTCAGATCCGGTTTTGTAAAGTGGAGATCATGTCACAGGACTATTGGGCATGAGAGATTTATGTGTAAGTGGGGACACGACAAGCGCCCAGCGCGTGGTGGGCACGCGGCTGGTAATCGGATTCCACCCTCCCACCTCCCGCAGGCCTGCCGACAGAGCATCTTTATATTCTCATTGGGGTCCCTGTGGCCTTTCTCCTTTGTCTCTTTCTCCTGGGCCTTTTCCTCCTCCATCGTCGGCACGAGAGAAAACGGGGTAGGTCTCAGGGACAGGGTGGGGTGACCCAGGCGGGCTGTTTGGGGTGCTGGGAAGAAGGCTTCTCTTCTGAATTCACACCCGACTGTCCCCAGGGCCCCCAAGAAGCAAAGGTGAGGAGCAGAGGCCCCAGGAGAGGTGAGGCTCCTGGGAGTGACCCCCGGGCCCCCAACCCCCTGCCCCCAGGCAGCCCCGAGGGCTCACGTGTTCTCTCCCCTCAGGCTCAGCCCCGCTGTTGACGTCGCAGATGAGACACCAGGTAAAGACAAGGATGGGGGACAGGTCTGGGAGCGGGGAAGTGGGGATTCAGTGCCATCAGGAAGCAATGTGGAAGGGGGTGTTCGGGAGCATTCTAGAATGTTCCAGATGGGGTGGGAGACCAAATATGAAGCTATGAGGTCAGACGTATTTGCCCCCTAAGGTCCACCCCAGAGAACTGACCCCTTGTCCTCTCCCTGCCAGATCTGGCCACTGTCGACAGACTTCCTGAGAAGAGTGGGGAAGTGGACACCTCAGTAAGTGCTTGTGTTAGCCACCTCCTGCTGGGTACCAAAGCCCCTGAAATTAGCAGCTTAACAAAATCATCTCAGTTTCCTGGGCCAGGAATTAGGAATCGGATCAGCTGGGCGGTGGTGGCTCATAGTCTGTCCTGATGTCGCTGTCAAGATGCCAACCAGGGCTGCATTCATCGGAGGCTCAACTGAGGCTGGAAGATCCACTTCCACGATGGCTCAGTCCCCTGGCTGTGGGGAGGAGCCCCATTTCCCCACCACACGGGCTCCTCCATGGCGGCCGGCCTCCCCCAGCAGGAGGGACCCCAAAGAGGGAGGAACAGAAGGCACACTGTCCTCTGTGGCCTCCCCTACAGGTGGCCCTCACTCTGCCATATTCTATTGGTCACACAGACCAACCCTGCTTCTCTGTGGGAGGGGACTACACAACGGCGACTCAGGAGGTGGGATGTGCGGGGGGTACCTGGCGTCTGGCGACCAAAGTCTTCCCCTCCCACAGCCCCTCCCTCACCTCAGCCACCCATACTCACCCTGCGTCTCTCTCCTCAGGCCTCTGCTGCAGGAGGCCCCCAGAAGGTGATATATGCCCAGCTGGACCACCCGGCCTTCACACAGAGGGTGGCCAGAGCTGTGTCCCCACTGTCCACAGAGCCCACAGCCAAGTCCAGCATGTATGCAGTCCTTGCCAGAAACTGACCCCAGGCCCCCCTGGCCTCTGCACTAAAGACACAGGAGGGCACTCTTGCAAAAGCCTGCAGTGGACATTTGGAGGGTTTCCCTGTGGAATCGGCCCTTCCTGAAGTCATCCGGTCAATTCTCCTGCTGGCAAGAGCTGGAGTCCTGAGACCCCCCAATCAACTTCTAGGAGATTCATTCACCATGTGGCCCCTCCCACAATCAACTAGCTCCTTGGAGAGGACGTGTAGCACTTGTTTCAGAGACCCAGCTGTGGTCCCTTGGCTGTTTCCAGAGACCCAGCTATAGTGCTTGGCTGTTTCCAGAGACCCAGCTGCAGTCTCTTGGCTGTTTCTAGAGACCCAGCTATGGTCCTACAGTCGCCCAGCTGATTCCAGATATGTCCTGTGAATCCTCCCCTGCCCCCAGAGACCTGTTTTGTTTTCTCAGCTGACTGTACGAACCTTCCTAGAGTTCAGTTGTTGATCTTGAATCTGGGCTACACTTATGCAGCTGATAGCTAAGACCATGTTTTCTAGATCACGCTTCACGTTGTTCATCAATAAACGTCCTCACAGGCCCGACTGCGTCAGCCCTGCGTGTGGCGCCGGGGTACACAGGTTCTAGGTCCCAGTCTCTGTCTCCACACTCACTCAAAACTTAGTGAGGGAAACGACAAAAAGGGCATCATTGTTTTCTGATTCAAGTGTGTCTCAGGGATGAGAGAGGGAGATGTCTGAGGGGACTTCTGTCTGGGTGAAGGCGCAGGCCTGCCCCACCTGATACAGCTGCCATCTCCCCCGCCATGTGCACGCCCACGAATGCACGCATGTACTGTACAAACGCATATACTTATGCACACACCCACACGCATGGACACGTGTGGAGTGGGCGAGGGAGTTGATGAGACCACGACTGCACACGGAGGGTCCCTCGGGCTTTAGGTCCACCCAGAGGAACATGCAGGTCCCCATTTCCCACCCCTACTCCAGTTCATCCCCACTGGACGCCATGCATTCTCCAAACACAAGAGGACCCATCAGCTGTAGGACACTGTCCTTGATCTGACCTTCACCCCGTCACCTGGCTAATGCCCTTCAGGTTTGGGATTGGAGGCTGTTCATCCCAACAAGCTTGCAGTTGCTGCTGTAACGAACCCCTCACATAGGGGCACCAAACAACACAACTTATCATCCTACAGTTGAGGAGCTCAGAGGCTAACATGTTAAACTGGGCTAAAATCAGGGGTCAGCAGGGCTGCGCTCCTTCTGAAGCCTCCAGGGCAGAGCCCATTCCTTTACCTTTAGCAGCGTCTGGGGGCCGTCTGCATTCCTTGCCTCGGGGCCCCTTCCTCCGCCTTCAAGGAGAACTGTAGCCTCTGCAAATCCTCCCTCTGACTAGGACCCCTGCTTCTGTGGTCGCACCTCCTTCCCTCTCTCTCACCTGCCTCCTCCCTCTTACAAGGACCCTGGTGATTACATTGGGTCCACCTGGAACATACAAGCTCATTCCCCCCCTTGAGATCCTTAACTCAATCACACCTGCAAAGACCCTTTTCGCACCTAAGGTAACACAGCAGTTGGCTCCAGGGCGTCGGATGCGGACATCTTTGGGGCTGTTATTCTGTCTACCTGAGCGGGTGTCGGGCCTCAGCACCACCTCCGCTTGTGGGCTCCTCTGGGCTTGAACGCCTCACTCTGAATTCTAAGTACCCCCTTGCAGGAATGTCTCCTTCTTCCACTAGCTTGTGAAATGATCAATGTTTGAGAGTCTATTCCTTGTGTCCCTAGAACCTCTACGTAAGAGGAGGTCGGGGAGGAAGCAGTGGAGACTGGAAACGCACCCCACAACCCGTTAACCCCCCCACCCCCACCCGGTGCTCAAAGTGACAGGAGGTCCCTGTGTGACAGGACTGGCTGCTCACCAGCACCGTGTCCTCCCTTCCTGGGCTCCCAGCGAGATGATCTCCCCAGCCTCCCTGCAGTTATGTGTGTCCTGGGATGAAGTTCACAGTGGCATGTGAGCTGGATGGACGGAGCTTCTTCCAGCCCTGGCCCGTGAACCTCCCACACAAGATCCTCACGGCTCTTCCCTTCTGCTGGTGGGTATGGATGCCCTGGGTGACCTTGGACCCACACGCTGAGTGTGGCACCTGGTTCCCAGATGACCCCATAGAATAGAGCCTGCTGTACCCCTTCTATTAGTCATATTTCAGGTTTCTCTAAAGTTGATGCTTTAACATGGGTCATACATGCATATGCTAGTGTGAAAATTAATAAAAGGAAACCTAATTTAAAACGGAGTTGCGAAGCCCTAAAGGGGAGCTCTCTCACCCCTACCCTCTGCTGCAGCTTACTTTACATTCCTGGGCAGGAAGAAACTTGATTTTCAGAAGGATGATTTTCTCCTCGCCCAGCAATAGCCCAGCCAATGAAAAGAGCAACACGCTAGCCAATGAGAAACAGTCACAACTTAGCCAATGAGAAACAGCACCAGCTCAGCTAATGAGAAACAGCAACAACTCAGCCAATGAAAAAACAGCCTCAGCCCAGCCAATGAGAAACAGTCACAACCTTGCCAATGAGAAACAGCAAAGCCC